TTGCTATGTTATGCTATGAGTGTATGATGAGTGTTCTCATTATCATTATCGCCCTCACTCTCTTTGCTTTTCCTCAGTATCTCATATCGTGTTGAACAAACTGAAGCAAAGTATTGAGGTCAACGGATTCCATTGACACCTGCACTTGCATTTGCCAGAATGGATGGGGAAACCGCATGGGGGAATTTTCTTCTTGGGCATTGGGGCTGAAAGGTGAGTAGAGGGTGGGCCTAAACGTGTGGAACCTGACTAGCCTAGAGCTGGAGCTGGGCAGGGATCTCGCGTGGAACGTAGGAAGGAAGGAAGGGGAGAAGAATATTCATGTATCGGGTCGGGGGAGCAGGGGTGTAAAGTTGTTGAATTTGACGTTCAAAATCTGTGACAGAAGTATGACCGGTACGTACCTTGTTCTTGCTTTGACGGGACGGAGATCAAACGGGACACCAGACCAGACCAGACCAGACCCTGGCTGCGGAAGGGAAGCTGCGGATTGGGCTTCTGTCTTCTTTCCTCAAGAGGCAGGACTCTAAAACTCGCCAAATACTGGGGGGAGCTTGGCAGCTGTTTCGGTATTAGAAAAGAGTTCCGGATATGTCTGACCTGAATGGATTATTCAATCCTTGTTCTCCTTCTTTTTCTTACCTTGATATGAGTCACTTGAATATCTATCAATTGACAGAACTGTTCGTCTCTGCAGATTCTCGTGTGGAGAGCCTTTATGCGCGAACTGATAAATGGGGCAGACAAATATACTCTGCTTCTTCACGATGTCCTGTTGAAAATTGATCAGCGATATGACCACTTTGCATCGTTTGGTTAAAAGAAATGGCCAATGCAATGTCACAACTCGGCGAATTGATTCAGTAAGCTAATTGCCCGTGTATCAGGTTGTAGCATAGCATAAGCTGGCTTATCTTACCGCGGTGAGGCTCAATCAGTGATATCGGTGTAAATGCGTGTAAATGGCTTGACGATGACCTGAATCGGGTGATGGTGGGGGTCACGTCACACGTTGTCGAGTGTCAAATAGCGATGGGGGGCGAAATGTCCGAGATTGATGATGAAGTTGCTGGTAGAAGCCAACTGCTGCTTCGACAGGACCGGTAGTCGAGGTGAAATGAGGTGATGTGAGGTCAAATCAGGCAAGTTGGTTGTAGCATTCATCCGCAACTGCTCTTTAAACTGATCTATATGCAGCCCTAAACGAATTGAATCGAGTCACTCTATCTATTACACTACAAACCAATGCCTATCATCGGACGCATCTGTGTATAGAATATCCATTACCGCCGGTATTGATGCCGACGACTGCCGTCCACAGTCACAAAAGACTGAGAAAACAACGTCGAAGCAAACTCACGAGGTCGGAAAACAGAGGTACAGTAAGAGAGACATGGCGCCGACTACGGGGGCTAGTCCAAAGTGGATCATGATCGTGGCCCTTGTTCGGTCAAGCTCAAGCAATCAATAATAATCCCTGGTCTGGCTGGAGAGAACACGCAATCGCAATGAAAGAGTAATGCCAGACATGATTGACGAGATGAGATTCAACGGGGGAGGATCCCTTAAGACCGGCCTGGAAAAACATGAGACTGGAAAAAGGATCGATGCCGACTGGACAGGGAATCCTCAGTGGATAAACGGATGAAAGTCGATCAAGCTTTCAGGAGATTAAAGAGGTCAAAGCAAAGTATCCCAGCATTTATCCGTGGACTTTCTGTCTCGTCTTGTCTTACAATCCAGTCAGTTGCGACCCGATATTGATGTTGGGTTGAATTGGGTTGTGCTCTTCGGAACAAGGTCTCGGTTCGCAATCATCAAACGGCCCCGGTGAGTGATCCACCAGACACCCGATACTATCCACTTTGGAGGCCCCTCTCGACGAGCTCCTCCGGTTGAGGTTGAGCCCGGCTTACGGGGCACGAACAGGCGCTACCCTTTATTAGTGAAGTTGTAATTGGATATTCTTTGTCAATGTAAACGGGGTCGTTGAAACTGACTTTTCATCTTTTTTCCTGTGAGAAATCCAAGTTGCCCATGGCATGACTACTAAAAACCCCGTATGGTAACTATCCACAGTTGGTTTGTTAAGAAAAGACCCTTACGCGTCTTCTAAGCAAACAGACAAGGTTGGATCTTACTACGCCACAGGAATCGAATTGTTGCTATTCACTGCATGCTTTGTCCCTTCTTCAATATCCGCAATTGAAATACCTGATCAACTCCGGTGACGGAGCTTGACGAACTACATGAGAATAAGAATCGCATCAGCGCTTAAACTACCTCCAAAGTGGACGCCCATTATACCCAGTCAAGTTAGATGCATTAGATGCTATTCGTTTTGTTTTCGTTCCTTGTACACTAAAATCTGCGGAGTCTCGTGGGGCCAGGTACCATCTGCAGCTCGGCAAATATCACAACTAACAATGGAAACAAAATTCCACGATAGTTGTATATATCAGAATCTCATGATTCTTGAATATATTGCTTGCTTGTTATTTGATAGTAAACAAGCAAAGCATCGATAAGAAAGAAAATCGTATCATCCGCCAACGGCCCGACCCTTTAAGGCCGAAAAAGGGGTCAATCATATATATCATGCAACAAGCGAGTGAAGCCCCAGTGATTCGGGGTGATGTTGTCTCTTCCTTGCTAGGTCCGGGGTTTTTACAAAGAGCTTCGATAGACGCTGTCCACTGTGACCTAGGTGGCCTGTGTAAGTTTCGTATCATGAATGGGACAAACAGCATTGGGCTCATCGGCGGTTTAACATGACATTGGAAAAAAGCAAATGGTTGGACGGAAATTAGTTGGAGAGACTCCACTTTGGCTGCCGTTATATTTGCTTTTGATGAGATTGGATCGATTTTCCATCATGTTGCGTCTCACCCATGGCGTTGATACGGTGAGCTGCATTATCGTCTTTGCGCTTGGGCTGGTCGTACCCAAGATACGGTCAGGAAGACTGCAGCCGCCACGGTGAGAAACATGACCAAAAATATCTACAGAGGTCACTCACAGCATTAAGTTCTGTTTGCTTATATGAATTTTGTTATCATGTTATACACCGACTCTTAGGGAAATGAAATGAGTGTCAGACGGTGTGTACTTATTGAATGAGTGAGGTACCACCGTTTTCCCCCAACATTGATACAGTTTGTTTTACCAGGTCAAGTGTAAGACAGACAAGACAATGCAAGGTGCTATTACGTATCAGGTACATATTCTGCAACCTTGACGCTTTATTGGCATCAGTCACTTTTGGTGATAGTGTGTCTCTAATTGGGCAATAAGTCATGCGTATCCGTATCTCTCTGTCGCTGTCTCTCACACACACACATCCTTTCCAATTATTGATTCCTTTCATATGACACTTAGTTCGGACGAGGATCAATCACATCAACAAAAAAAAAACATCGGGTTTCATTGTGATGTTCCCCCAGGCCATGCAGCGTAGTAGGTACTTTTGAGCTCACTCCACCTCCCTGGGTCAGACGAAAACAAAACCTCTGACTTGCAATTCCAATTCAATAATTCGACATGTATCAGAAAGAGAGTAAGTGAAAAACGCCATTCCGACATTGCCCGAGTGGAGGCCCCTACTAGCCCATGGAAGATGGCCCCTACTCCCGCGGGTCGCTCTTGCATCGCTCAACACCCCTGGCCTCAAGCCGGCTTCCCGAATGGTGTGGTCCACTGAGCTCTCCCCAGGCTGCAGGAAGGAGCTCATGGAACTAGGTACATGCATTTATCAGAGTTTCAATGGGGTACCTATTGAATAAGAGGGAACCCAGCGGGGAGGCAAGAACTAGCAGGGGTGCAAGGCAGGCAAGGCCCCATGGGTCAGGCTCGGGTACGCCTAACCTCTAGAGGTTCAAGGTCTCTGGCGTCTCACCACGGAATCTCCAGGAAGGTGAACTCCACTTGGATTGGTTTGATTTTTCTTTTCTTCATCTTCCTTCACCTGAGTTCCCCCCCTCGTCCCTTGGCTCATTCAAGGGGTTCTTTCTGTGAATGCATGCATTGGTAATCACTTAGTTTTTTTCTTACTTCTTTTTTGGGCAGGCAAATGGTCTCTGTAGCATGGAGAACATCAATGCCCTCTTTCACCGTAACTTGAGTCATTCAAACAAGAAAATAAAAACAAATAAAAAAGTCAATTTTCTTCCAGTCCCTACCTTAAATCATCTAATGTAGCCCGCCTATTGGATGTCATGCCGTCACCCCGCATTTTGTCCATCAGTCGGGACGACCTTGTTGACTTGGCCCTGTCTAGATCGGGTGCGACAGTGCCAATGCCAAAGTAAAACGTCAACAAAAATTTATGTTACTGAACTGAAACTCGATCACCTCCTCGGCTCAACGATACGTTGACAATACTCTCACATGCTATCATGAACTCAAGTCATCCGGACGAGTTTCGGTTTTCGCGTGATACCGTAATGTTCTGCTGATCTCGGAATATACAGTCGCCTATGTTACCCTGTAGAGTTTGGTACTTACACGTATGGGCACCCTCCTGATATTGAATTCAATGCGGAGAACTCTCCGCAACACCGAAAACCATCTTGTTGCTCTGGCAAGGGCGTTCTTTCAGGGTATATGTCGGTATCGCGGTGTGTGCACCGTTAGTTGGCAGATGACGAGGTGGTCTGCCACAACTTCAAAAACTACGAGGAAAGGCTAGTTTAACCGAAGACACAATCAGGCCATTTCCCAGTAGCCTATGACTTGCTTTAAGATGCTATTGGTAGTACACACTCTCTGCTCAACAAACGTGTTCAGTATAAGCCATGACAACCCGAGATATCAACGAGATCAGCAAGTGGCTGGGTCTGAGCCTGGAGTCAACGCGGCTTAGGAACCCGATAGATAATCTTTCTGTTGGGAATTCCAACCCCTGCTGACCTTGAATCGATGATGCGATCTAACCAAGAGCCGCATAACAAGAGATATGATCATGTGTCTTTAGTTGCTTGTACGGCTTGCCTCGGTCCATCATGGTTGCCATCTCATTGAACAATATTTACCTATGTCGTGACAATATTCGGTCCTCGCATAATGACTACCATGTAAGTCACGTAGATATCACATATGGCTGCAGCATAGTCTGATACATAACTGGACTGGGGTAGCTTCAGCTATTCACCACACAAACCTCAAGCTCCTCGACATTGACATAAACGACCTCTACAGCTCGCCATGTTCCGCTCCTCCGGCCTTCTTGAAGTACACTCCCCGAGCTCTTGAAGAACGAGCTAGCTACCCCGCCTCACGTGTATTTGGCTTTCAGGAACATACTTGTAGGGAATTATTTCCATAATCAGTAATTGACGTCAAAAAACATGCATCCCCACAACCATCAATCCTCTCAGAGGAGACATCTTTAAACATACAACCAAAAATCTACAATTAATCCCAGAATATACCCCCCTAGAGGCCAGTGTTTCACTCAAAACCCCAGATAATACAAAAGAGGCGTATGTTTTTAAATACATATCTACTTTTAGGTAACTCAAGGTAGCTTATGGCTACTACCCCATGTCCACCACGGACAGGTACCGAGGGTGCGGCTCCGTACTAGCCATGTCGACTCCATCCATATTCCTTACCTACCACACCACCACTTACTATTACCTACTCTATTGTGACACCCAAATTCTTCAATATCTGGGGAAATTCCCCTGGACTCCCTCCTGGCCTTGCCGTTCGTCCTAGCTCTTATCCACATGTCTGAAGATCAGTCCCTCCGCTCCCCCATATTCAGATTCGGCACTCGTGCCAAACCTTGTCCCTGGCGCCACGTTATGGCTCTTAAACCTTGCGATATGCCGTCTGACTTGCAATTACACGGGCTTTCCATATTCGCAGCCACATGTGTACAACTGGCAAAAGCCTCTAAAGCTGTCAAAGGAGTCATAACCTGCCGATGCCGGTCATCAGTCATTACCTTCACCGAGCTTCAGCTGCTTGCACGTGGTCCAACATCCTCGGTAATACAAGTTGTACTCGATCGTGCAGCATTTCATTTCATCGTGTGTTGTCAATAGAATAACACGATGCTTTTGATATTTCACATAGTAATTGAAGGAATACCTATGGTAGAACTGCAGCCATCAAATAAATGAATGCTGCTGCGTTTCAGCGTAATTCCCATGTGCCAATGCTCGTCGACTTCTTTTACTCCCAAACACCAGATATTACAAACATCTTCAATAGAGCTGTGGATTAAACGAATGCATTTGTGCCCTTCCTCTATCCCTGTCCTGTTCTCCCGCTCATGACGCTTTCCCCCCCTTGTAAGCCCACTCATTTGGCGTTTTCCTTACCCTCGGTCACCTTCCGGATCTTGTTCATAGCGTTGTCATCCTGGAGGCTCCACCATTGCCGTAGTCCCTTGGCATGTTCGATCTCTTCTGTGGTAATTTCCACCGGTAGACCCTTGACTTGACTGAGAACTTGCTCATCGTTCGGCTTGGACACGGCCCATGACGATAAATCTTCTGACCGGACGCCGAAGTTACGGCCCGTCATTGCCACCACCTTGACCCGTCGGAGGAGGATGATGTCCCCACTCTCAACCTCCGGCAGCGAGGTTAGGTAGGTCCCGAATATATTGGCTACGCGGACTTGATTCGGTGCCGTAGACGGATCGGTCAAGGTCAAGGTGAGCATGAAACGTCGGAGACGACCATGTTTTTGTGGTTGTGGTTGCGGTGGTGTCTGTGTTACCACTGCAAGGACATCCGTTATCTTGTCGATATTCCCTCTGAGGCTCTTGAGCGGCAGGAAGTCGGGCAAATCTGTCCTCAAGTTTTTAACTAGTCGTAGTTTCAGAGACTTGACGTCCTCTTCGCCATCCTCAGGCACAGTCGCGAAGGACCCTGCGATTGATGGGGATATTAGTGAAGCAAATGATGCATCGGGTGAATCTTGTAGCCGTAAACTTCGTGATACCGAACGAGTTTCGCGCCTAGGTGTCTCGTGCTTCAGATCTGGTGTCTTGTGACGTCTTGTTTGCCGGGCTGGAGGGCTTGACCCCTTCACGAGCAATATGCTCGGATCATCATGGTCAGTCATGGATCCTAGCACTCGCTGGGCTCCGGATGGACTGTTGTCCAGACTGGTAATGCTTTCATCATCTGCCGCTTTTCTTTTACGCTTGTTCTTCGTCTCTGACTGTCTGAAGCCACCCGCTAACTGAATGCTGGGATCATCGTGGGTCTTGTTGCGAGTCTTGCTGCGAGTCTTGCTGCTTGGCCCGGTTGGGACTGAGTTACTGTGCTTGCTACCACTGTCTGCGGGCCCTGTCGCAGGCGCAGCTGCTATCAGCGCTATACTGGGGTCCTCTTGATCGCTGTCGTCGGACGCTCTGTTTGGCTTAGAGCGTCGGGGTCGTAAGGATTTGGCAACAGCAGCCACAGGCGCTGGCTCAGATTGTGAAGCAGGTCCTTCATGTGTCTCATCGGCCTGCTCAGTCCGAGTAAATGTGTTAGTTTGTGAGGCAGCAGGAGGAAATGCGACAGACTCCATCGGTAGATGGGCATCCTGTTTCACTGGAGAATGCTGCAGTATCTCAGCCATTATTTGATCCTCTGGGTTTGTATCCTCTTCGTCGGTCTGGCCATCGTATGTGACAGTTTGCAGTATGTCAGACATGTCAACCTCTATCACCTGGGTTTCGCCTGGAGTGGGAAGATGCTGGTCGTGGTCATGGACTGCGACATTGATGGTGTCTTGCAGGGTTTGCACTTGAGAGATTTGAGTTGGTGGAGGTGAAATCCGCCCGTCCTTTATAGGGTGTTCTTCTGCATCTTCTACCACGACCGTGTTGATAGCTGATTTCCCAGTAGCATTTTCGGAGGGCTCGTCCTGCATCATGGCGTCGTGGAATTCTTGTGTTTCGTCAACTTCTGCATCACCCTCGCTAGATAGACCTCCAGTTGAGTTGATGTTCGATGGCGCTGCATTATCTTCCGAGGTCTCTTGTAGTTGTATGAGCGATTCTTCCTGGGCCGCTGTGACCTGGACACTTGTTGAGGTCTCGTTTTGTGCATTCGTGATCGTGGTTTGCACCTCCTCGTTGACAGTAACACTGTTCTCAACGACCTCAACCTTTTCGGTTTCCAGTCGCTCAACAGTGTCTTCTAGAGGTGCGTCAAGTGCTGCATCAACATCCATAGCCTCGGCGGTTTCCTCAGCCACGGTAGGCGCTGTTTCGTCAAGTGAATCTATTCTCGTAGTTTCTTTGATGGTAATGGCTGCATCCTCGGGTTTATCGGATACCACCGTGAGTGTAGGTGCGCCCATCTCCATATCATGTGATGCGGCAGAAGACTCTTGGTTTTCCGCAGACTTCTCAATATGCGATGAATCATCTCTGGTCTTGATTTCCTCAGATATCGTGGATGCCCCAGGATCTTCATTGCGGTCTGGACTCGAATCATTCCGAGCAGGAGGCATGGGAACTGATGATTTCTCTACTTGAGTCGTTTCTTCTTTAGTGACGTGTTTGGTTTCAGTATCCTCGTTCATCTCCTTTGTAGTCAGCGTTGATGGTTCTGCGGCTTCAGAGGGAGACTGGGCTTGTTCAGTCATCTCCTCGTCTGCCTCAAGATTTTCAGCTTCCTCCTTTCCCTCAGGCACTGGCGAGGGCGTTGTGTCTTGTGCATTCTTTGGGCTCGCTCCAACCTCATCTTCAGACTCTGAGTCAGACTCATGCTTCACCTCTTCTTCGAGATCTTCTTTAGGCTCTCCCTTGGGTTCTGGTTCTGGCACCAACTTGGGTGCCGGTTCATTTTCGTCTTCGGAATCCGACAGCAGATCGATAAAGACAGGCTCTCGGGGGATAGGTGCAGCACGAAGTCGAGTTTGTGCTTCTTCCTCTTCTTCCTCTTCTTCGTCATCAGTGTAGCCATCCTCATCTGAGTAGTATTCACCTTCTGCATCATCTTCAGACTCTTCGTAACTTTGTCCGTCACCCTCGAACCGTTCTTCGTACATTTCCTCTTCGTATTCTTCGGAGACGTCACCAGAATACTTTTCTTGGTTCGCAACGTCTTGATCAACATCCATATCATCTTCCTCAGGGTTCATAATTTGCGCTCCAGGATTGTCATCGTTCTCATCTCGTTCCTCTTCAGACGTTTCGATATCGTCGTCATCATCGTGCGTGCGCGAGTATTTTCTGAGATCGTAGTCGTCTCCAGGCTCATCACCGCCGTCACGGTAATATTCGGCTTCACTTGCTGGGTCCTCGAGAGTCGGTTCGGGCGATGCATCTGCCGTTACATTCATCTCAGTATTTTCCCTCGAAGGAGACACTTGGCGATCTTCGGTTGAATCCCTCAATTCTTGCCTTGAAGGTGATGAGCTCAGAATCTGCACCGGATTCTCAGTGTCGCTACTAGCGTTCGCAGAACGTGATCCAGGTAGTTCTTCAGCAGCCCAAGGGTTCTGAGAGGGCGCAGCAGTGGCGAAAGCCGAGTCTAGGGCTGATTCCGAAGAGAACGGATGTTGAGGAGCTGCGACGGGTTGCGACGCATGAGAAGCGAACCCCATCAGAGTGTCCACAGGATTAGATGAGGTTGAATTAGCATCCAAGAGCGCGGCCGGGTAGTCTTCCACTCCCGTGACACGACTGGGCGAGTCTGGAACATCATCCTGCCCGGAGAAAAATGCTGGAGCTTGAGGGAAGAGCACGGTTTGTGGTGTGAAACTAAAAGTCATGTTTGTGTCCATGGGGTTTGGCTGTTGGCTGAAAGGGTTTTGATGTGATTCAGGAGGTATGCTATGCGGCGTTGTTGAGTCATCTCCAAAATTCAGGGACTGATCTATTGCTGGGTTATCTGCACCAAATGGCTTTGTTCGAGCAAACGGCGTTGGAGTCATCTGTGTAAAACCAAAGCTTGGTCTTGATTCGGCCAGTACCTGGACACTGGCCATAGGCGTAAAGTCGACATCTGCGGTTTGGGAGCCTTGATCAACCATTGCTGGTCTGGATGGCGTGTCCATATGGGTGTCCTCAATGTCGTCATTTGGCTGCGGATTTCCATTCACTTGTGTCTCTTCTTCCTCTGACTCCTCAGGGACATCATCGGGCCCGGGACTGGGAGATTGACTGGTATATCTCCAAGCATTACCAGGCATACTGAATCGGGAGCGCTTCTTCGGCTTAGTCTTCTTGCTAATGTCCTCATCGAAGCCTCCTTCAAACAGAGACCCAAAGGATACACGTGCTCGTTTGAGAAAAGCGGGAGAAGCATACTCGAATTCACCAAGGGCCGATGCAGCGCTACGTTTCGCAGGCACTATGGGCTCCGGAGATGGCGGGTCCGGTGTGGCAGGTCCCTCGGGTATTGTGTCGATGTCGATTGGGTCGGTATTCTCTGCCTGGCCATCTGCGGCAGTTTCTGGTTCCACAGCCGGGGCATCGATATCGAGCAGAGTTTCTTGTTCCATATTGTATGGACGTATAGCAATGACCAGGCGATTCGTGAATTCTAGTTGCCATGCCAGAGTGCTTCCTGCAGTCTGTGTCTTTGTCTCATTCTTCTCCCACTGAACGCCTTTTAGGCTCACACGAATCTTATCTCCTGCGCCTAGCGATGCATCTGAGATGGCTTTTGCGGCTGCACCATGGAACTGTACACGCACTCGGAAGTCACCCTCGGCCAGGAGGAATGCGATAGATTTAGTTATGATACTAAAAGGCCATGCAACGGTTATCTCCCCGTGTACAACTCGGTTCTCTTGATCGGAGGCGTCTGGGTTGAGTCCAGAAATAGGGATAGACTCGCCCTTGTCGAGTAGAAAAGTCGGGGGTTGAGAGTCGTTCATGGTGGTGTTGTCGCAAGATTAGTCGCGTCGGCGGGGATTCGCGAAGAGTTGGAAACCTAGTAGGCTGATTTATCTGTACATGTGAGATCCCAAGCCTTCGTAATCTTATTCAGCCTTAGAAATTATTGCATCGCGTAGGTATACAGTCGGGGATGCTTTTGGCCGTGACTGAGTTGCTGGCCCGGCTTGCGTACTTTTCTTTGTTAGAAGCAAATGTTGAAATGACATGCATGCAAGCTGCCGGGCAGGGAAAGCTCCTAGCTCTTTCGGCTGTAGGTATTTAGTGCAGATCTACCCTAAAGAAGAAGGCGGTGAGACAAGCACTATACAGTACTAAACTCTATCAGCTTACCTATCATTCAGGTCCAGGTACTTGAATGCGGCTCTGGTTGCTCTCTCCTGGTGGGATTTCCTTCCAATTGAATTTCTCCAAGATTCCTTAACATGTAAGTTACCTACCTAGGTAACTAAGTAGTATCTACCTAGAAGCTATTAAAAATATTTGAGATAAAATTAAAGCAGTTCCACTCTGGGAAGAGAGAGCAAGCAACTCTCTTTCCCCAATCACACACTTATGAAAAGATGTAAACAAGCCCCTCCACGTCTACTTCGTTATGAAGTTTCTTTTACCAGTAAACAAACTTATCGTGTGAGGATGAAAGTAACTTTACCGCCCGCTGTTCTAAACCCCTAACACAGGTACATTGCATTACAGTATGGGCTCTCTGACTCAGTCCTCGTCTTTCGACGTCAACAAAGTCGCCATCATCGGTGCAGGTCCAACAGGAATTGCTGCTGCGAAATACCTCATAGCGCAGGGCATCTGTGATATCACCATTTTCGAACAGCAAGACCATGTTAGTGGTATTTGGCATTACTACGGCTTGGCTGCTGGAACTTGTCCCGTTCCCCAGCAGGATCCCCATCATCCTCCAGATACGCCACTCCAGTGGGATTCGACATCAGCACCAATATTCACATCACCAATGTACGAGAACCTTCACGCTAACATCCCGAAGGAAGTCATGCAGTTTTCCGATCAGCCTTTTCCCGAGAACGCCAAACTGTTCCCCGAGAGGCCCATGATTGAAGACTATCTGGTCAAATATTCCGAGGACGTTAAGCCTCTGATACGGTTCTGTCAGCGTGTTGAAAGGGTGTCGTTGAAGCGACAAGACGATCGGGACAAATGGGAGGTGGAGACAAAATCCACCATGACTGGTAATGACACCGCCAGACAAGTTTTCGATGCCGTTGTTGTTGCAAACGGTCACTACTCGACACCTTTTATACCCGATATGCGAAACATGAAAGAGTTTAATGAAACTTACCCCGGAGTAATCACTCACTCTAAACAATATCGGACGCCCTACACGTTCAAGGACCGCAAGGTAGTCGTGGTGGGTAACGGTCCGTCTGGTCTCGACATTGCTCTTCAGATCAATCAAGAGTGCAGGAAACCCGCTTTTTTATCTGTGCGGCATCCTACACCTCCAGGCCGACTGCATCACTGTGGATGCGAAGAAATGGCTGAAATCGAGGAGTTCCTGGTTGAGGAAAAGGGCGTTCTTTTCAGAGACGGTCGGATCGAGAGAGACGTTGATGCTGTTGTATTCTGTACTGGGTTCCTTTATAGCTACCCGTTTCTCCGGGATCTAGACCACAAACTTATTACTACAGGTCGAGGCGTCCATGGTCTATATCAACATGTTTTTGATATCCGGCATCCTACCCTCGTCTTCCCTGGCCTCAACATGAAAGCAGCTCCTTGGCCTCTGGCCGAGAGCCAAGCCGCTCTTTTCGCAGCGGTATGGTCCAATGATATCAAGCTTCCGTCCCAAGAATTCATGGAAGCTTGGAGTACGGAATTGGAAAAGCAGAAAGGGGAGGCTTTTCACACGTTTGGTCCAAATGGAGACGGACTCTACATCAACAGGTTGCATGATTTGGCCATGACAGCTAAGCGGCCAGGAAAGGAGCCGCCTCACTGGGATCATGAGCTGATGTGGCAGCGTAGCGTTTTCCTTGATGCTAAGGTAAAATTTGAGCAACTCGGCTGCAAAGCACGAACCATGGAGGAGGTTGGATTTTACTACAAACCCGACAACACTCAGACAAGTACCGTGTGAACCGTGAATTGGGTAGCAAAAGATGTCAACAAACGGTCAAGATCAGTCCTGTCTACCCTAGACTGCATACGTGGAACCGTTCCTCGTGGCTACCTAAGGCACGGTGACAGGGGTCCGTCTGCAAACCTGCACAAGGATTGGACCAGCAGATGACTCTTAGACGCTTGGCAGAGTTCTAGATATGAAACGAAAAGTCGGGGGAGGATCCGAATGTGCTGGTGTTGTGATAGTGGATCAAAATGGCGGGAGTCGGTGACGGATTTATCATGCAAACTGGATCCAACGCCTGGCGGCAAAGCTGCCGTCTGGGGACACGCTTCGATGCATAGTACAGCGCATACGAACAGCAAGGGTAGCGTTTGTAAGTGGATATATACTATCGTTGGGATAGTTAATGCGTTGGCGATTCGTAAGGCGACATCGAGAGATAGCGAGGGTACTTGAGGAGAGGAGTAGAACGTCTATTTCCACATATTTTTTTCTTTGATGATTTTCCCCCTCAAGACTTTTTTGCTTCCATTGACTGTTCTCACTACTTGATTTGTGACTCATTCACTGGTTTCTAAAAGAGCCAACTTGACGACGTCTCATCAATCAACAATGGCTCCATCCACATCATCCAAAGCCAGATCTGAGAGCAATGCTACTGTTATCTCCTCAGTCACCGCAACCACAGCGACCAAAGGTGCAGCTCTCAAGTCATTACCTTCACCAAAGGACTTGTCACATCTTTTCTCGGTAATCACAAGAAATCGAGAAGAGAGTGATATCAAGGCTTTTTACAAGTTTATGCAAATTCCTGGCATCAGCAATTTTGCTGGAGGTGAGTTAATTCGGCCTTGGAGCACTTTGATAGCTAGTTATCAGTTCTAACATGCACTTTAGGAATGCCAAATGCACAATATTTCCCATTTGAGACTATAGAAGCTCAAATTTCAAAACCAGACAGATGGCAACCTTCATCCAATTACCCAGAGCAGATTGAGGAGCCAGCACCAGAGCCAGCACCAACTGTGCCAACGTCCAGTCTTCATGGCTTCATTAGCCATATTAACAAGAAGGGCAAAACCATTATCAACAAAGACAACAACAAAGAATCTGAGGCTCACAAAAAACCGACACGCATCGTAATCCCCAAGATTGTCCATGAGACAGATCCCGCTAAGAGGGTCGATCTCACCACCGCCCTTCAATATGGGCAGGTCACCGGCTACCCGCCTCTGCTCCCCTTCATCAAGCAGTTCACCAACCAGGTCCTCTACCCAGATGTTCCCTACAAAGGGGGGGTGGATGTGATTCTCAACAATGGAAGCACAGATGGATTCTCAAAGGTCCTCCAACTTCTGGTTGATCCCTGGTACGAGGGACTACATCCCACGAGCGAGAGGCAAGGCATGCTCTGCGAGACATTTGTGTTTGGCAACATCATCACTCAAGTCAAGCCACTTGGTATCAACATTGTACCTATTGAAATTGACGACCAAGGTATGGTGGTGGAAGGCCCTGGTGGCCTGCGAGAAGTCCTTGAGAACTGGGATCCTGAGAATGGTCTATTACCACACTTCCTATACACAGTAACGTGAGTCACTCGATAAACCTCTCACATATGCCTGTATGCTAACACAAGTCTATAGAATGGGAGACAACCCCTCAAGCGGTGTTGTAGGAATCAGGAGAAGAAGAGAGATTTACGCTCTCGCAAGCAAGTTCGATATAATCATTGTCGAAGATGATCCCTACTGGTTTCTCCAATTCCCTTCTGCCGCCCTACACGAAGCCAAAGCGCGAGGCTACGGCAAACCTCAGGACAACCAGTCACCCAAGCCGGCCACAAAATCCGGCTATGAGTTTATCGATTCGCTGGCTCGCTCTTATCTAAGCATGGATATTGACGGCCGAGTCATTCGCCTCGACACCTTCTCCAAGTCAATCGCTCCTGGTGCTCGACTAGGTTACATCACTGCTCAGCCTGCGATAATAGAGCGTCTTACAAGGTATGCAAATCCCTGTTCTTGATGATGTCTTGATATGTACTGACTCGTGACTTATAGGATTGCCGAGACGGGCACCGGCCAACCTTCTGGCGTTGTCCAAGCACTTGTCGCCCAAACTCTCCTTGGCCCTCACTCCACTACCCTCCAAAAAATCTTTTATCTCCCACCATCCAAGAAGTCCTCATTTACGGGCTGGAAGCTTGATGGCTGGGTAAGATGGCTAGAAGGTCTTCGTGGCGAGTATGAGCGCCGCATGATACGCATGTGCAAGACCCTCGAAGAGAATGCATTCCAGTTGAACAGTTCTACACCAAGCAGTCCTGACTCCGATTGGAACATCATTACCAAGACGAGACTGATGGATTTCGACTGGCCTCGTGGTGGCATGTTCTTGTGGGTGCGAGTGCACTTCGAGAAGCACCCTCTCTACCAGGCCAAGGTAGGCCGCAAATCACTACCGATCATCGACGGCCCTGCCCTTTCAAAGGCATTCCTCATCCACAGCACCAGAGCACCTCATCTGGTGCTGGGAAGCCCTGGTACCATGTTCAGTGCTACACCACAGATCCGGGATGAGCGTGGCTGGCGGTATGTGCGATTGTGCTTCGCAGCCGAGAGTGATGAAAACATCGATGCTGGTTCATTGAGGTTTACAAAAGCTGTCCAGAGCTTTTTTGAGATTCAGGAAATTTCGGAAATTCAGGAACTTCTTGAAGAATTGCATGGTTAAGAAATTGTATATATAGAAGCGAGTGTTTTTTTTGGATTGGGCAGGCGAAACAGGTTACATAACAAACTGCCAGGGTTTTAACAGCAAAGAATTATGAATTTGAATGATAAACAAGAAGAACAACTGAGATAGCTCAATATGTCTATACAGATGAACGTGTTTTTGGATAACCTTAAGTGTGTGAGCTGGATGATTTTATGTATACTCTTGTAGCTGTAGAGTGAGTAATACGCATTATCTAATGCTCTTTATTCCTTTGGGATTGAGAGGTAGTGTATCATCATATATACGTATGCATTACCTGCCACACCATCCCAGTACTTAGACGAGATAAATGGACAAAGAAAGAAGTTTACAAACGGAGTGCTCAACCACTCAATTGGCATATTGCACGTAATGTTGAACGGCTTTATTCACGCTTATAATTAGACATCAAATATAGGAACCAATGCCGAGTCTGGCTGTAATTCATATCAAATCTCTGATTCATTTTTAAGAAAGCTCAACCTTCAAAGAAGCCATTACGCCTCGATATCAAACCATGCTAGACCCGTCATTCAGTTCCGTAAAAACCCGCTGCACACCCAGCAAGTCGGGAATCCTTTTAGTTCTGCTTCTTCTGAGCCTCCTGAGCGAAGACAGTGGCGTAGGGGTTCAGGCGAAGCATGACCTGCTTGTTCTTGAGAGGGTTCTTCTTCTGGACAGCAGATCGGCGAGTGATAGCATCTCCCTTGGGAGCGTTGATGGAGCTCTGGATTTCAGAGCTGTTGATCAGGCGAGTAAGATCGGCCTGAGAGACAACGTTGGAAGGAAGGAGGAAGTCACGCTTGTGGGTGGAAGCCTCAGTGGTGGAACCGTAGATGCTGTCAAGAGCCTTGAAAGCACCGGAGGTCCAAACGATGAATCGACCAAGGTGACCACCAGGAGCGAGCTGGAGGAGGTTGAGAGCGGTGACGGGGCAGGTCTCGACACCAGTGATGTTGCGGAAAGCGGTGATAAGCTCCTTGCCATCAGTCTCGGGGGAGTAGATGACAAGAGGGCCACGTCGCTGGCGGTGGCGGCGGCCACGGAGCTTGCCCTTACCAGCACGGAGCTTCTTGGAGTTCTTGACCTTGCTGACGTCCTCAGCGGCACCAACAGCCTTCAGGAGACCGAGAGCAGCGGAGGTCTTGGCAATGGCAGCAGCCTCGAAAACAGCGGAGTCGATGACCAGAGGAACCTCGGGGACGGAGTTGACCTGGTGTCCACGGGCCTGGAGCAGAGGAACGGCCGCGGAGGCAGCGAGGGCAGAGCAAACGGCGTATCGCCTAGTTTTTCATCATTAGACTTCCGGTTTCTTCAAATACTCTCCAGATTGCTTACTTTTGTCCGACCGAGACTCGGACGTGCCACTTTCTCCAAATTTTTGTAGGGGCGAACATACGACCGGAACGACACATGTTACCGAAGGCAGCTTGACCAGCGCGGTGAGTACCGCCACCAGAAACCCTAGAGCAATGTCAGTATTCGTGTTGAGCTGTTGATAATGGGCGGGATTATGCGGACCTAGGAATACGAGCAACAGCACGACCTGTTGGGAATTTAGTTAGCCTGTGTCCTTCTCTCATGATCGTGTTGTGTGTTCCGAGAATTGAATTTTGAGCTCAAACTTCCGGCAAGTTCGTTTGATCCTCCACCAAATTACCAAAAGAAAATCCCAAAATCTCACGTACCGGTACCCCAAGACTCAGCAGAGGTCTGGTGACCAGCCTTCTCGCTCACGGAGTAGGGCTGACGCTTGTTCTTGGCCATGCCGGTGTGAACCTGCTGGACAATGTCCGGTCGGATCGGGCTGGTGAAGACAGCAGGAATGGCGTGGGTAGCTCCAGTGGGAGCACCATCTTTGCCGAGAATAGTGACGGTAGGTCTGGAAGCCATTGTGAAGGTTGAGACTTGGACCTGTGATGATGCTTGAGTTAGATGAGGTTCAAGAGAAACTGCATCAGCTTTGGTGTTGAAATCTTACCTCGGGCGTCGTGCGGCGTCGAAATTTGCTGAGGAGTGGGAGGTTGCAAGGCTCGCGAAATTTCACCTTGGGCAATTTTGCAGAAACCGCACTTTGGTGGGATGAGGAGACCCTAACCGACCCACCAGGTGGGGTCGACGATCCGCCAACGTATGCACACGTGACGTGGAAAACTGTGCTAATAGCACTGCTGCTGCACCTTTGTGACAGATTTAGCTTAAAAGTTGGGAGACCAATCACGCAATTGTATTCAAAATAGGTACTATGCTGCTTTCATAATATTATATATATCATTCTCATCATGGCTCATCAAGGTCGCTTCGTCGTAGCATACGTAGTTACATGTCATCGTTATGCCCCGTCTACCTACTCCAAGATGCAGATATCCAAAACCCAATTCATAACCCATTATTCCCACCTCTTCCATTCCTGAATGTACTTATCCACTTGCTCTTCAACCCAATTCTCATCTTCAGATGATCTCTCCAGCCTGGCCAGCTTATCGTGGATCATGGCCTCGACATCCAACCGTTCAAGTACCTTAGCCTCCAAGTACTTGGGATCATTCCATCGACAAGCCTTCTTGAAAATATCTCTCATTCGATTAGAGTAGAGCTGGCACGTTGCAAGTGGCAGCTTTTGCGGCTTCATGTAGAAATTGCGAGCAATGACGTTGTCATCCTTGATCGAGGGCCGAACCACCTCATCAAAGCATTCGCCACAAACAGTAAACTGCTGGAGGAACTGCATGATGTGCCAATGCCCGTTGACCATGGGCTTGTCTTCCTGACACTCACTCACTGCAGCCATCTTTTCGATGTCTTGTGCAAGAGTATTGAGGTCTGGCTCTTCTTGCTCCCGTCGTGCTTGATCCGACGTTGTTTCCAAAGCGTCAAAGTACATGACGAATCGTTTCCGTTTCGGCTTGAAGCGCAATGCGCAGAGCCCTCTAGTTGGCTCTGAACGGGAGTCGACAGGAATGAAGATGCCTGTAAGATTAGGAAATAGCGCATGAATTGTCTTGACACACTGAGGACACACTGTGAAATCGTAGACAGGTTGTCGTGTGTATGGATTCCAGAGTGTTTGCCAGTTGCGCGCGGTGACTCTATCACCCGGGCAAGGGAGACTCTTGGTGGCAGTGATGGCGTTGGCAACGTCGTGAAAGAGTCGCAGATCAGGCAGCTCGTTCTTTAAAGTAAGAAGCCATGCGATACGATACCACGGCCCAACACCAAAATCACATGAAATCGGCTGGGATGTGGGACGAAGCATGGGCTGGAATGGGTTTCGATACTGCGTCTTTGCAAAGACAGAGCCATAGCAGTCTGGACAAATATTAAAATCTGTACGAGGTAGCGTGAGCCAGTCCACTAAACCTGCTACGGGATGCTTGCGGCGGCATTCGGGAAACGTGGTAACACCTGTCGCTTCCTGATGTTCCGAGTGACGCCGAACGGATCCTACTGGTTTCTCGAGGCGAACGCCGTCTCGAATGGGATCAAAGGCCGGTGGTTGCCAAGATTGTGCAGAAGGCGGAGGACGGTTGGTTGATGGAAAAGCCGACGCAGGCCTAGAGTCGAGTGATGTTCCAGGGCCACTAGGAATAGGAGCTGGCATGCTAGGCATCGAGACGACAGAATCGCCGTCATATCGAGATTGTGACCTACCAATCCTTTCCGCGTTGCCCCGAACGTCAAAGGGGTCAACCAAAGGATCATCGTCCATAGGATAAGGAAGTTCCGATTTTGGCCTTTCGGGAAGAGGATGGTGATCCCTGGTTATTGGGAATGTTGAGGCGGGCCTTATGCTTGGAGGGACTTCTGATGATGGAGTTGATCCATTGGGAATAGGGATGGGAATAGGGATAGGGACAGGGATCGTAGGTCCACGAATCTTCTCCCTGGGACCGCTAGGTGCATCGACCTTCTCCAACTTTGGTTGAGAATCTCTTTCATCCGACAGAACAACAGACTTCTTACGCCTAGGATGAAGTTCGCGCGGGCCCTTGGGATGGTCATCGCCGGAGCGACTATCATCCCCACGATCATCACGGCCATCACGGCGGTCGTCACGTCGAGTTGTCGATTCTCGCACAGGCTCACGAGAAGGGAATGTTGAGGCTCGACCATAATCCTCACGTTCTGGTCTTGAATAAGGAGGAGAGTTTTCCTTCCTGCTACTTCTCGATGCGTACTCACTCCTGTAAGGGGACTCGACTTTGGGTCCTTCTTTAGATAAAGGACGGCCCTCCTTCGATAAAGGGCGACCCTCCTTCGACAAAGGACGAGAGGGTTTCTCATCAGCCCGTTCTTTTGAGAGCGGGCGAGTGGGGGCCTCACCAACTCTCTCCTTGGACAAAGGTCGCGTCGACTTCTCAGACTCGACAGTTGTACGTTTCGTCGTGGATGCAGTTGAAGAGTTTCGGGTATGGCTGCTTTCATACCGTCGTTCGCCCGGCATGCTGGACACATTGTTGGGCCGGGTAGGTGACCTGCGAGCAGCACTTTGGGACTGTCCATAGTACGCTTGATCGCGGCCGCTGGCGCTGCTCTTAATAATTTCAGGCGCAAGCAGGGGATCAACTGGGATTTTGGGTGGCCGGGCAGGAGGCTGTTCATAACGGCTGCTTGCGGACACTGAAGGACGGGTACGGTATTTCTCGGGCAACTGATCATCTCGAAACTCAGTTTCCAGTCGAGGTAAATCTTGTCTGCTGCGTCGTTTCTCTAGGGGCGGTCTGCTGCGCTCCCTAGTTGTTGATGCATTGGCTTTCAGGCTGGCATCATATCTTCGGCTGGATCTTGCGTCTGTATAGGTGTCGCTCATCGGCCTCTCCTGTCGTTCGGCCCTCTCGATGCGTTCAGGCCTATCGTTTCGCTCTATTCGTTCACTTCTTTCGGGTCTATCCTGCCGGTCAACCCTTTCGTTTCTTTCTGATCTCTCTGGTTTTTCCAATCGCTCAACTCTTTCTGGTCTTTCCTGTCGCTCAGCGCGCTCACTTCGTTCAGGTCTCTCAAAGCGCTCAACTCGCGGAGGCTTTGACTCTAATTCATTCTTCCTTTCTGGCTCAGATTTTTTGCCAGATTCGGTGCGCCTATGTCCCTCTGCCTTTCTCTCAGGCTCACTTCTTCTGTCTGGCCCGCTCTTCCTGTCGGTTTCTCCTCCTTCTGAACCACTTGAAGAGCCTGTCAAAATAACAAACCGTCGCTCGGGGTTATATTCATGTACCTCCATAATCACCGGATTTTGTTCAGCTTCCCCACGTGACGGGGTCTCTTCCTCCTGGTTCGTGGAGATGGATGCTCCATGTTCTCGCTTGAGTGAAACTTCTTCATCTTCGACAGAGGGTGGCGGTGGTCGAACTTTTGGAACTCGTGCTGGGACTGCAGACTTCGGTCGTGGTATTAATGGGTAATAAGGTAGTTGGTACGGTTGCTGCTGGGCTGGAGGCTGAGAAGAAGGACGATCCTCAATCTGCGATGGTGGACTATTGAGCGTTGTTAGCAGTTGTTCAGAGGCAAAACTATAATAAACATACGGCTTTGGGCTTTTGGCCCGAGAAGTTGTGAAGTACCCCGTCTGGAGTAGGTTCTGGATATCAAACGACTCGCCCATGATGCGTCTCTAAATGTCTGAGCAACAAGAAATCATGATACGTTATGGGGAGACTGAAAACAGCAAATGCGCCCACAGGAATAAATGCGAAAGACGTCCAAGGGCTGATGTTGCTTGCTAACGTCTGTTTTCTATGTTGTTTGTTGTCGCACAGGCCTGCTGGAGACGGGAAGGTTGGGTTGGGTTGGTTGGTGCGGGCGTGGGTTCCAAAACAAGTAGTTTCGCAGATAGTAGGTATAGCCGCGTGTGTGATAAAGGGAAGGGCGTAGAGAATGTTTAAATAAAACAGTAGACACTAGCAGAAGCAGGAAAGGACAGGATCTCGTCTGACGCTGTGTTCGAGGCGGCAACGTCGAAGAGAGAGAAGCAGAATAGAAGGTCGGAGACACCTTGGGGCGCAGTTTAGGTCGGGTTCTATGAATGGAAAGGAAACCTCTGTAGATTATCTGCCAGATGACATATGTAGTACAGCAAGAGCAGGCAAGATATACTTGAACGTCCACCCAAGCCACCACATATAACAATGTACTCCCAAGAGTGGGCGGCTGGGCATCCACCCCTCCTCCCGTCATCCTCGTCCATCTTCCATGCCCTGGCTTCTGGCTTCTGGCTTCTGGGCCATGGGGCTCCTCTCAGCCCTCTAACTAGCCCTCCAATGGCCCCGCCAGGTTGCCCCTCCTACGTTCCGGATGGATCATGCCGATTGAGGCCATTCCATTTTACGGTTAGAAAATCACCGATTTGCTCCAGTGCAACGTATCACCACCCATCAATAGCCTACAGTATCATGTCTCGGTAAACCGACATAGATTTCAATGCAGATTTGATCGTTGTACGAGTGTCTTGTCATCCACTGTCACCAAGAATCAAACTCGGAACCCTGCTGTATGACCCTAGCCACCGCTTTCGTTTAATTGACCCTGGAGGCATGCCAACAAGTCAGCAACACGCCATGCCATGTATGTCGACGGGTCTTTTCAAGGAACTAAACACCTACAACCAGGTAACATGTTGAATTGGAATTGCTAATTCGTCTTCATATCCAACCCATCACACGTAATTCGGTATAGCCGTTGAAGTAAAGGCACTCAAAGAGTTAAGGTTATTTGTGGATAACCGTCAGCCATCGAATATTATCATGAAACAATCCATGGTCTTTGCAGATCATCAATTCAAGACAGCTAGGGTCCAGAAAATAAATAGCCCAAGAGCGGGTCTAAGATGGCATAAGGTAACAAAGTTATTTTGTCTCAAAGGAAAGCAGTTCAAGTTCTCTGTATCCCTGAGGGACGCAGGGACGGTCCCGCAACTCGAGCCCACAATTTGACAAGTCGTTTAGCCTCATATATTTTCTTCCCGATGGCTTCGTAATTGCAATGAGCGGTGCATTGAGCGGTAAAGTTGCATATCTCTGTAATGGAACTGACAGCACAAGCATCTTGATAATGTAGGACATGTCCGACAGTATCTGGTGGCTGGGCTGATGTATACACCGTCGCATACATGGACATGGGCTAAAATCCATTATCTTCTAGGATTCCCATTCTCACCACCAAGTGTCCAGCGGTATGTCCAGCGGTACACCACAAGACGAGGATGGTTGCAAATGCGGTGTACTTGTAATACTTGCTATTCAAAGAAACTCATGTTCCGAATTACAAGGTATATGTTATCGATCGAAAGTGATTCTGAAGGTTCCACCATGGCTGCAAATGCGACAAATATGCTGGCGAGGCTCACCGTTGGCGTTTTTGCATGTTTGACGCGGCAACAGCCTAATCCCGAATATCATCAAGTGACAAGAGCTCATAGCAAAAATACGAGGGATAGTACTCGGTGTGACAAATTGAGAACTCGATTCAGATGAAGTTTGGCGCCAAGAAATTATGGCTATAAATTAACCATAAATGCTGAGTATATAAATGAACGAAGGTACCCGGGAGAGATGCCGGTTTATATTAGTGACTCCTTTACATGTTCCAGCGTTGACATGTCATATTTCCTTGGATAGATATCTCGACTTGTCAGTCAGAAGTTACTCTTTAATTATTTGAGGTGACATTTGCTTTCATTACCCTGAACCCTATGGCATTTGAGCGTTCAATGCACATGCCCATCGAGTTCCTTGGAAGAACGACAATGATACCAGCAATAGTAACTTGGGAGTGCTATATCATAAGAGTTATATACTAAGTGTATTTTGTTTATTATATGTACAATCCACTGTTATTCACTTTTACCCACCTTTATGGAGTTCACGAGAAGGAAAGTTGGAAGGAATTCAAGTGAATGTTGCCACACAGGACAAAGCAGTCCAGATGTTAAATGTTTCATTCTTTTATTTATAGTAGCGTATTGTTAATAATAAAGATTTATTTCAGCTTTCTAGACACATGCACTAATATGTATCCAGCCGCCAGTTTGATGTATCAGCCTCCTTAACAAGCATACGTTGTACACAGACCTGATCGTCACATCTTTGCTATACGTTTCCAGAAGTGACAAGCAATATAAACAACATAATCAATATGTTCTTCCTGCAACCTGCTTCTTCTTAAATTTACAACACCAGTCCTGTATTTTTGCTGCAGATTTCTAAGTATCCTTCTTCTATAATTTGAGTATTAAATATAGGCTATGATTATTGTGCCGAGTAGAGTCTTCCCTGGAGACTTTCGTCTGCGTACTCGATTATTCCTACTAGGCACTTGCTTAAATGGAAAACAGATTCAAGTAAGAATATAAGAAGCAACCTGGTTCTTCTATCTACTACCTAGTACCTTGGTAGTTTGGAAGAAGCAATAGTACATGTAGCTTAGCTAGTCTTCCAGAAGGTTCTTTAGATTGGGTGCATTGTCCAAAGGCGACCTGCTCTAAGGGAACATGACAAGCAACCAACAAGCTAAGCAACAAGCAATACAGGCAGTTGGGCTATTTAATGGGGATTTTGTTTCTGCTAGTGCCAGACAGGTAACCGGCAGGTTTCAGCGACTGTCAAATGTTGCAATTAATAACCGAGTGTAGAGTGAGGAGGAGATTCTACATCTTCCGCAACAAAACACAGTACAATGCTGTCTGCTAAACGCTTCGTCGTATTGAACACCATATTTACCTTCTGGACCTTCCACCCTGCAGTTGACTCTACATCTTAGAAATAAAATCCACTGAATTTCTCCTTAGTACGGATGCAACTTGACCTTCCCATCACAAGCTAGCCCATTGGGCAGCACCGCTATACAAAAACATATGGTATACATATACAGGAGTTTGGACTTTCTGGATGTCTCCATACGTTCAAGTATATAAAAAAGACGCTACAGAGCGAGCACCTAACAGCAGATCATGCGGAGACGAAAGAGAAGATCCCCTGTTCTTTATCGATTGAATGCAAAACTTGTATGTATACTTCTTGCAGTAGAGAACACGTTGGCCAAGACCGTCGAAACCACAAGAACTCGTTCAAATGCCTGGAAGAAGGGTATGGGATGGTGTTCAAAACAAGAGCCCCATCCCCCATACGTGGCTGCTCACAACGAAGAGTGCACGAAATGCCCAACATAGGTAACGAAATCACGACTGCCCCGTAAAAACATTTTCAAGAGCATTACAAATGAGAGCGTGAAGCAGAATATATCCAATGTCTAGTGGACGACTACATAGAGTCGTTCAGATATTATCGCAAAATTCGCCAACAACTAGAAAAGACCACCTAGGCAAATGTTTTCCATGCCAGATACCTGAATGCACCGAATATTATCTACACTGGATGAAATGACCGGGTCGACTGGAAATATTTACACTGTTCGCATCGGAAAGCGGTTCCGATTCACTTGTCCTCATAACACCAAGGGTGGCCAGCAGAGAGCATGTGAGGAATAAGCGCCAACCAAAACAACTTCGTTGCCCTAAAGCTTAAGAAGGATGCCTCGGAATTTTTATGGACGAGGCGGATGTTCAGAAGCACGTGGAGGACAAACACTCCTACAAAGGCCTTGTTTGCAGGACATACGGTCAGGAGTTCATCCAAATCGATCACAAAAGAAATCATGAGAAAACAAATACCCACCCATTCCGTTGTCCTCAAGCTCTTTGCACGGTATACTCCAAGACGTACAAGGAGACACTCGAGCATTCTATAGGGGGTGGTTACTAGTCCTAAGAAAGGCTTTGCACGTGCACTGTCACTCAATGTTATTCTTCCGAGGTTGGAGTTGTCACGACCAAAGCTCATCTTGAGAAACACTGACAGCGCCATATTGATCTTGGAAATATTGAAGAGGTCATCGAACTCGAGTAGAAACCTGCTGAAGCTCGTCCATTGCAGAAAATGTCATTATTCGACGCGATATATGAAAGACTCTGAGGATTGGCTTCCTCAAGACAATGAAGCTGATCAAGATGATGGCTTGGAGACGGTGCCGTGATCGATGAAGAATATGATCCGAACGAGCCCCCTGGTGTTGCTTTAGCAGAAGAATATCTTGAAATAGTCGAGAATGATGAGGCAGTTAGTGTACAAAATAAACAGCCAAAGAACTGATCTAAGGAGTATCAAACTGGCCTACTGATTTCGTCTCTTATGCTCCTAACAATCAAGCTTTCTGGTATCCGAAGGGATGTTAATTGACTGACACTGGCTGTATTTAAAGTTGCGCCTACTTCATAAATCTCTCAGTTGATACGTGGATATGTCACTTGGTCTGCCCTTCATTCCTTGATGGGTAGTTGCAAGGGTTGGGTTAGTTGTTGAGCTGTTGCATTGGATTAGGTAAAGGATAAAGAAGGACAAAAGAAGTGGCTTTGACTATAGTGTTAATTAAATCGTATTTAGGGGTTCTGCCCGAGGGTGCAAAAGCGACAAGTGTACTACAGCAAACTCAGTTTGAATTGTTGCATATGTTACCAAAACTCCGAAGAAGAAACCAAGCGGAGGACCCGTATAAAGACCCGAACGTAGGCTTCGACGTGACAAGATACTCGGATACCATGCTGTCTCCCTGTTGCTACAGCCAGCCCAATTGGCAATGTTACCCATAGTACAATACTCCATCCATGGTCAAAAATCCAGACTAGGAATTCTCCAATGATCTCTTCAAGCAAAGCCAACTAAAGAAGCGTCTAGTCCTCAAGAAGGTCTGCGATATCCTTGTCCTCCTCCTCCTCTTCTCTTCGTCGCTCCTCAGCTTCAAGGAGGTCCTTCAACATAGTTCTCTGCCTCACACGAGCCTTCTGGCCCCAGTCAGCACCGGTACCGTCGCCCTCCGCATCGATTTCGGGCTCGTCCTCAGCCAGTCCGCGCAGCTCGTTAGGGGAGATCTGGGCCTTGCGCTTGTCATTGGCATCGTCGTCCTCCATCTTCTGAACAGCTCCTTTCGTGATAAACTTCAGGGCCAAGGGGCGGAGAAGCATGTAACCGCCGACGATGACGATAAGACGTATCCATGCCTTTGTGTCCATTGAGTCGAATGCAGTTGAAATGTTGTTGGAGGCATTGGCGCCGTACTGCAAGAACTGAGCAGTGAACTTGCCAAAGGCATTGAGTTCAGGCTGTTCGCCTTGGGCTTGTTGTTGAGCCATGGGATCCATTATGAATATGTTGAGTTTTTATGAGTGAGATTGGTTGTGGCTATAGATGAATGAACCCTTTTCTGAGCTTCTTGACGATGATGCGTTTCTTAATGTAAAGTTTAAATGCAATGCTTGGCGTAGATGCAAGGTGGCTTTTGTTGTAGTAGTGTGATGGAGTCGCACTAAGTCAAGGTTCCACGTGAATGGTGAGTGAAGAATTACAATTGAGGATATTCAGTTATTTTAGGAATGAATTGGACAGAGGGAAGATGACGGAGCTGATAAATTGAGGCTTTGAGTCGAGTTTTATATGGCGCGCGACTCGGGGAGGTTGTTTTTTTAACTTGCCCGATGGGGCCGGCGCTCACTGGCCAAATTCTGGAACCTGTCTGTACCCGCTAGACAAATGAGGGTAGCAACCTTGAATGAATATCAGTGATTTTATAGCGCATAATGAAGCTTTGATGATGGTAAGTGTTAATTAAACAAAATAGTATTAATAATAAGATCTACTTTTAGAGCCATTATCACTTTAGTAGATGATACTTCCATAGATATACAATCCAAGACAAAGACGTGAATACTGAGGAGAGTTCTTACTTTTTGCCCCAGAGACATCCAGAAACTAAAGACTCACGATGCGTATTACATAGAAAGCAGAGATTTTTCTGTCGCTTAAAAGATGATATTAGATACCTACATATACAAACCTCGAATCTCAATGATTCTTCATGAACAAATCACGATGCCACGTGACTATTCTTATTCCCCAGTGTCTGAGTGGACGCTTCAATCCTGGCCGGTTGGACAATGGCTCCACCAAAAGAACAGACCCAGACGCCTTTGGAGCGAAGCAGAGCTCGAGAAATTTTCGAGGCCTCATCATAGCCGTCTTCCATTTCCACCTCCATCCCCCTCCACTCTCGACAGCACCATTGTGTGTTTTTCTTCCTCCTCCCCTCTCCCAATTCTCTTTTCTCCTTAATTCGTCCTTTATAATACCCATAGGGAGTCGTCACCATGTCGACCGCTTTCCGATCTCTTGCGCCTTTCCTGCGCACCGCTCGACAAGGGCTCCGGGCTAACCCCGTCAACCCTCTCCAGTCCGCCTTCACCAAGCAGAACGCCTCTGGTGTTCTCAATCTCTACCGCACATACGCCGTCTTTGAGCGATCAAAGCCCCATGTGAACATTGGTACCATCGGTCACGTCGATCACGGCAAGGTACGTTATCAACAACAACGACCCCACCATTATTCTCGCAGACTGGACCTCAGCTGACCTTTTATTTTCTAGACCACTCTCTCTGCTGCCATCACCAAACGCCAGGCCGACAAGGGCCTCGCCAACTTCCTCGAGTATGGTGCCATTGACAAGGCTCCTGAGGAGCGAAAGCGTGGTATCACCATCTCTACCGCCCACATCGAGTACGCCACCGACAACCGCCACTACTCCCACGTCGACTGCCCTGGTCACGCCGATTACATCAAGAACATGATTACTGGTGCTGCCAACATGGACGGTGCCATCATCGTTGTTGCTGCTTCTGATGGTCAGATGCCCCAGACCCGTGAGCACTTGCTGCTCGCCCGTCAGGTCGGTGTCCAGCGAATTGTCGTCTTCGTCAACAAGGTTGATGCCATTGACGACCCTGAGATGCTTGAGCTCGTCGAGATGGAGATGCGTGAGCTTCTCAACACCTACGGCTTCGAGGGTGATGACACCCCCGTCATCATGGGTTCCGCTCTCATGTCCCTCCAGAACCAGCGCCCCGAGATCGGTACTCAGAAGATCGATGAGCTCCTTGCCGCTGTCGACGAGTGGATCCCTACCCCCGAGCGTGACCTTGACAAGCCTTTCCTCATGTCCGTTGAAGATGTCTTCTCCATTGCTGGCCGTGGTACCGTCGTCTCTGGCCGTGTCGAGCGTGGTATCCTCAAGCGTGACCAGGAGATCGAGCTTGTCGGTAAGGGCCAGGAGGTTATGAAGACCAAGGTCACCGATATCGAGACCTTCAAGAAGTCTTGCGAGCAGTCCCAGGCTGGTGACAACTCCGGTCTCCTCATCCGCGGTATCCGCCGTGAGGATGTCCGCCGTGGTATGGTCGTCTGCGCCCCTGGCACTGTCAAGTCTCACACTCAGTTCCTCGCTTCTCTCTACGTCCTCACCAAGGAGGAGGGTGGCCGACACACTGGTTTCCAGGAGCACTACCGACCCCAGCTATACCTCCGAACTGCTGATGAGTCGATCGACCTGACCTTCCCCGAGGGTACCGAGGATGCCTCCAGCAAGATGATCATGCCCGGTGACAACACCGAGATGGTCGTCACCATGGGCCACCCCAACGCTATTGAGGTCGGTCAGCGATTCAACATCCGTGAGGGTGGCCGAACCGTTGCTACTGGTCTCTGCACTCGCATTATCAAATAAGCGGTGTTTTAGACGGGTTAAGGAAAAGTTTATGGGTGTAGTGTACGAATTATTACGTTTATATGTACTATCTGGCAATGTCTTTCCCTTTGAGTCCATTTGGCTCTTGTATATTAGGTGGCCTTGGGGCTCAAAGATCTCCGCTTTGCTTCCTCCCGTTGTCTCGACGATTGTAATTTAGACACAAATATAGGAGGCAGTAATAAGACTTGTAAAACTAGCACATCAGCTGCGACATGTGATTACTCGTCCACTAGGGCTGCGCAGTCGATTACTTTGTTGATAACCTTTACTGTCATGATGGCGTGATCACGGGTGGGTATCGAGATGGGCAAGGGGACCGATGGTTCACATGGAGTTTTTGATTGTCATAATTTCACATTGACCCGATACACTCCATGGCCACAGGTTGGTCATGCGGGATAGTGCGAGGATAAGACAAGACACATAGACATTTCGAGGTCCAATGCAATGGTATTCGTCTATCCTCGGAGGATGTTCGTCAGACGCACGATCTTCCTGAGGGACCCAAGCAAGCCATAAAACTCCTGTTCCAAGCGGCCGCCCTCCGAGTGCTTTTTTAACGCGAGGCCTTTGACTTTCTGCTGAGAGTTCTCCCCTTCCACTCAATACTCTGCTCTCCAGCATTTCCCCCCATCCCTTAAACGAGAAAACCGGGTGTCATGATGATGGATCGTTTATCGGTACTGTAGACGCAGTCGGGTCAGTCCTGTTCATTCTGACTCGCACACGTCGTTGATCGTCCTGGGCCAGGGCCTGGAGACCCCACGCTGTGCACTTGCTTCATGTTAAACTCACCTTGTTGAAACCGATGTCCTTGGCCTTCTCACGGAAGCACTGACGGCACAGGTTGAGGTCGTACTTTCGGATAAGACCGGCCTTGTGCTTGCAGACACGGCTGGAATACTTGTTAGCACATGTAATAATATTCGAATCGATTATCGAGGGACGCCGTCGGGTGGCATTTTTTATTTCGCGTCCGACGGGCGGAAGAGGATTGTGAATTGTTCGTACCAGCTGCGAGAGCCCTTGCCGTAGTTTCGGGGGCGGGAGTTCCAGACGCTTTCGTGAGACATGGTGTCGTTGTTGGGGGGGTTGAAGGCCGAAAGCTCGAAGGGTTGCGGGATGGTTTAGATTTCGAGATGGATTGCTGCGTGAAATTTTGTGTGCGCTGACTTACTAGGTCCCGCAGCCCCAGTTTGGGCAGGAGCGAGGGCACAGAGGCTCGGCAGTCGGAAGATGAGTTAGTCCGTTATCTTTGTCCCCACTCTGGAGATGTCCAACAAGGTGACTTACATCCACATAAGGGCAACTCTGAATAGACGTGAAGAATAATTTAAACTTGTGAACTGGTCATTGGTTTAGAATCAGAGGTGTGATACTCGTATTTTTATCTCGTATTATAAAGTTGTGTGTGCGTAGCTAGTCAGAGTCTCAAGCGAGATCTACGAACAACCTATAGAGCATACCAGCCAGATTGGTGACTTTATTGCTATACTGAGAGTGATTTGAAAGGAATCAATTCCAAGTACCTGGTAAGTCTCTAGCTAAGATATGCATGCAATGCGGGAAAGTTTAATTATAGGTACAAGATGAATTTGACTGGGAAGCCAAACTACCTCTTTCTTGTTGATAGGTAGGTAGGTACCTGGACAGTTACTTCGACTTGGGAGAATTAGTTGGAGGTAGTAACTTGTCGACGGCCGCTCAATTGATGGAGAGCTCATAAACATTTTCCAATTCGACCATTAGGTGCAAACTCTGGGTAATCTTGCATTAATATGTTATCAGAACCTTGGTCTCCAATTCCTGAAGGTGATCCAACAACCGAACTCAAGTTGAGACTAAAAAGTTGTCAATAGTGCCACTCTTATTGCTCACAAGACTGTCTATCGATTAGCCAATGGAAAATTGAACACGTACTCAAGTCAACCGATAGGATCGAGGCTTCTGAGCCAACGCAACGGCTCAAGTTAACAACTCCAACTTAGACAGAAACAATAAATAGAAACCATAACTGCCTCATGACAAGTCTTTAAACAATAGGCACAGCTACACAGCTAACACGTAATTGGCTGACAACTCCATCTAAGTGGCGGTGGAAGCTTGCCTCAACTGCTCTTAGGTCCCGCTTTACCTTACAGGGATGTCCACCTACACCGGACATTCCTATGCAAACTGGCATCTTGGATTGATTTCCAAGCAACCCTCTTAGAAACAAAGCACATCTCTTTACAAGATTGTGCTCTGGTTCGTCTTGTTTCTACTATTCTCTTTCATCTAACAACAACAATCGGACCAAAGTTCATCCAACATGGTTCTCATCAAGAGCTTCGTGCTCGGCGCCCTCGCCGCCACCGTCGCAGCTAAATCCGCCGTCATCGAACTGCTCCCCTCCAACTTTGACGACATCGTTCTCAAGTCCGGCAAGCCTACCCTCGTCGAATTCTTCGCCCCGTGGTGCGGTCATTGCAAGAAGCTTGCTCCCGTCTGGGAGGACCTTGCAAACACCTACGAGCATGCCAAGGACAAGATCCAGATTGCAAAGGTCGACGCCGACGCCCAGC